CAAAAAACAAAAATTCGCTATCTCGTGGCCACGAGTTCTAACTCAGAAAAAAACAAAAAACAAAATTCGCTATCTCGTGGCCACGAGTTATAACTCAGAAAAAAAAACAAAAAACAAAATTCGCTATCTCGTGGCCACGAGTTAGCCGACCAATCAGATAAGCACATCTAAGTCGTGGTAACGAGTTAGCTGACCAATAAAATCGAAAATGTGCTCGTTTATTTCGGCGCGAGTAGACAAACTTACCAAGATGGCGGCGGTCTATATAATGATTTTATGTCAACGAGATAGAATAAAAAGCTGATTGGCCGATTAACTCGTGATAACAAGATAACGAATTTTTTTTCTGAGTTATAACTCGTGGGAACGAGATAGCAAATTTTGTTTTTTGTTTTTTTTTTCTGAGTTATAACTCGTGGCAACGAGATAGAAAATTTTGTTTTTTGTTTTTTCCTGAGTTATAACTCGTGGCCACGAGATAGAAAATTTTGTTTTTTGTTTTTTTCTGAGTTATAACTCGTGGCCACGAGATAGCAAATTTTGTTTTTTGCTTTTTCCTGAGTTATATATCGTGGGAACGAGATAGCGAATTTTTGTTTTTTTTTCTGAGTTATAACTCGTGGCCACGAGATAAGGATTTTTTTTGTTTTTTGTTTTTTTCTTAGTTGTATCTCGTGGGAACGAGATATCATTTTGTTTTTCGTTTTTTTCTGAGTTACATCTCGTGGCCACGAGACAGGGATTGTTTGTTTTTTGTTGTTTTTTTCTGAGTTATAACTCGTGGCCACGAGATAGCATTTTGTTTTTTGTTTTTTTCTGAGTTATAACTCGTGGCCACGAGATAGGAAATAATATAAAATCGGAATGTCCCCTCTGTGCTTCCGTAGCCACCACCACCAACAACAACCATAAGAAAAATCGCTCGATATCTCCATTTCCCATGACGGAAGGTTGGTTTAAACATATTTATTCAACATAACATTTAACATGTGAACAATATTTACAAAATACATTTTGGGATTTGGCAGAAAGCTATAAAGCTTATGAGTGTCCTTATACGGAAGGTAAGAGCTTAAATTATTGCTTCAGTTCTCAAGTAGACATGTTATTTCTAGGCCATAAACAGAAAAGGGAATCGTCTTTTTTACTTTTTGTTCATGGAATGCTTGGAACTCCATAAACACTAAGGTTCCTTTTTCAGTTTAAGGGGAGAGTTTGAAAATTTCCTTAATCTGAACCCAATGTACATTTGTATGTTCTTAAGCTTATCTTTAAAAACAATATTTAAGATAATTTTCAAGACCAAAATATTATATCGACAAAATAATAAAATTCTAGAAGAAGTCTCTCGGAAGCAATGAAAGCAACAATATTATCTGAAAACTGCAGTCTCGGTTTGACTGAATGAGTCTGTTCATGACAGATAATCTAAATGTATAACATTTCCGACGCCCCCTAGCACCGCCTTAAGCAGTACTAAAGGTGCTCGAATCAATGATCCCGAAGGACCAGAAAAATATGACAAAGGTTTAGTGAAGTACGGGGCAACTTTTTATAGCTGCCACACGGCACATGCACCTGCTGTAGTGAAGTTTAAAAAACTAGAAGAGGGTTGATATGAATTTAAACATTTCAATAGGTACATCGACAGTTAATACTATATTACATTTATGTCGTATTACATCAATACCAAGATGATAATGAATTCTTTCAGCCTCTATTAGCACAGAGACCAGTTTGAGGTGTATGAAGCGGATATGTTTTGTTTTTCTTTTAGATTGCACTATAGCAAAATACTCTTGGGGCTTAATTATGTGTACAATTCAGCAATAGGTGGGTTGATTCAAAAACATGTTTGTAATTTGTTAAATGATATTTTCACGGATAAATTGTCAAGTATAATTGATGTAAAGTATAATTGATAGTGAAGCTTTAGTTAAGTTATTAGGACATCTTTGTCTACAGAAAATTTATTTGTTGTTAAATCTGAGTTTTTACTTTTTTCTTTTTCTTATTATTTTATTGAAATTTCTCTTGAAAATCATTTTTCAGTGCCATATTCTGGCATTAGTGCTGTGTTGACAAATGACATTTTAGTTTTGATAAGTACTAGTAAATATTAATTCTCTTTCATCAACATTGCTTCTAATATTCTATAAATTCTGTCTGAAGTATTTTATAAAGTGTTAAATGAAAAGCAATTTTATTTATTTGTTAGCTTGTTTTCAATCTTTTTATATTGAATACCTTTTATTACTTAAATCTGTAAGTAACAGTTTGTATTCTACTTTTCTCATAAATATTTCTGAAATTAACAAATAGATGAATTTATTCATGTTCTTTACATTATTCACAGCAGATAAATCGTAAGAATTTGTCATTTAATTAATTGTAATGATTTATTGCCCTTACCTATACATTCACAGCTATTATTGTGAAATACTATTTTGCATTTCAATATAAAAGTTTACAAAATGTCTCGATGGTTTATTTATTATATTATTTAAGTTTCCGACCAATCCGCTGATCTTGCGTGACTAAGGACAATTTGCAGGTCAACAATGTTGAAAGTTGTAATGAATAATGCCAATACATTGTTAATTTCTGCTGACTGTAAATTTTACGCATCATTATATCTTATTATTGAAGAAATATGTCTGATAATATATAACAAGAAATTGTTATTTACTTTAAGGAAAGCATTTGCAAAATTTCTATGTTGAAGTCAAAGGTTTTTAATTGAAACTGGACGTCATATTGGTCTTCCAAGAGAAGATCGTTATTGTTAATATTTATATGTTAATTTTGATACACGATGTCTTGAAGATCAATGTCATGTACATTTTTTAAATGTTACAAATATATACATGAACGACAACTTATTATTTTTTTTATTTAATTGGTATAACTGGTAGATTTTTTAATTTAATGCAGTGTTCTGGTGATGAGAAAATAAGATCAGTTGCATTTTTGAACATTCCATTATGAAACATGAAATGTATAATAACAGGACACAAACATATGATGCTATACTGTATACGTTGTTTTTTTTTTTTTGGACCAGAGGCCTTTATTTACAACTACAATTTTAATTGAGTAAGGACGAATACGTCGTCATATAAAATTCCATGATACGAGTTTAGATATGCAGTTATATTTATTATATACATGTCTTTTTGTCAGGCAGTGGTAAATGTAATCTACCGTCCACTCTCTCTAGCACCGGCTCAATCAGAACTCAACATTAAGGCATAAACATGGTGTTTAATTAAAATCTTCAACATATGCAAAGGTGTTCACATGGCGTAGACCATGGAATCTTCGATACAAAACGAAATATAGTCGCTAAGTAATGTATGTATAATTGTGCCAGAAACTAATTAAAAAGGAATTATTAAGAGGATATCAGCGGTCATGCTACACCAAGAGAATGAAAGAAACATGCTAAAGAAAAAGAAGATCGATCAGTGACGGGTGGCGCTAATGAAGAATCCTATTTCATTGTAGAACTATCTAGAAAGTAATGTTATGGCTTAAAACATTCCAACTAATGTTGACAACACCGGCGCCGGCGTATTTGAAATAGTGACAATATTTACTTCAATATTGACGATTTGCAAGAATGCTAGCTAATGCTGCAGACAAAGTCGAATGCAGGAAACAACTTCTCATTTTTCACGACATGCCTTAAAATAAGAATTGTCGATGATTTAGTTGGCTTATTTGTTGTTTTTCTTGTTTAACATTTTGTGTTCCGCCGAGGAACGCATCTGCGAATGTTTCTTAATTCATTGTTCGCCATTTTCATATATGAATGTTGAGTTCTACTTAGATACAAACTGCATTAACTATTATATTTCAATGTTCTTAGGGTAGGGTCGTGAATTTCCATTATTTGAAATTTTTTATATCATTTGTGTTACTTAAATATTTAAGTATGTAACGGGAATTGTATTTATTACATCCTATAAAACGATTATATATTGCCTGATGGCAATGACCACAAAAAGTACCCCCCAAAAAAAGAGCACTGAAAAGGTAGCGGATTCGTTCCTTATATATATTGCTAGCTTATTTCAAAACATTTATCTTTAAAAATTGAGTACTTCATCGTTAGTGCTCACTGCTCCAGGGTTTGGTTTTTGAAAAGGTCGAAGCGGGAGGGCGAACCATTCATTTGACATACAACTTAGTAGAATAAATAGCATATGACATATTAGAACTATGATAAAATATATATTATACAATACAGGTGTAAGATACGGTTAGTTATGTACAGTTAAAATGAATATATCAGACAAATTATACACATGTACTATGTATCAGATATTAAGTTGATATGTTGATTTACTCGTTTAAACATATTTAGCATGAATATAGTAGAATATCGTACACTATACTAAATTTGCCGTTGTTTATTATGAAAAATGTTTTTAGCGAACAAAAACCAAAACGATGCCTTGACAAAGTTACTGATCATTCAGGATGTGCTTGAATTATGCAACCAATAAATGTATAATAAAATGTACTTGTATAAGGGTTGTTAAAATGAAAAATTGTAATATCGATAATTTTGATTGTTAATATGTCGCCAAAAATTCGCTTTAAAAATCGCTGCAATTATGTTACAATTTCTTATATTGAATACAGGAATTACTGAACTAATGTGCCAATTAACCCATAGTATAACGTTACCCATTATCATCTTTGTATAATTATATTTTTAATTTCTAGCTCCAGTCGTAGTAATTTGATTTATTTGAGATTTTCGATATTCCCTGACGTGTATAATGACTTAGAAAAAAAACGTAAGGAAGAAAAAAGTGGTAAATGTTTAAATGCCACTTTGATGTGTCAGTCGACCAGAAGATAATGAGCTGTCATTTACCAAACAATAAACGTTAAAAAAAGATTATTTCAAAACCATTATCTTAATAAAGCGCAAAAAATGTAGAAGATAAAGAACTCTGTGTTAACATAAAAATCATATTGTGGAATTTCGAGTTCGGAATACTTATTTTGATAACGTTAATACCCAAGTTTTATATGGTATATAATAAAGCTGCAAATAGCGTTAATAATCAATGCTACCTGAAGATAAATAAAGTCATTGTGACGATAGATAGAAAAAAAAACCTTTAGAACTTAAAAAAGAAATACTTCTGTTTGAATATATAGGGAAATCTGGACTGACGTTTTTATTCTGCCTTGTTCCTAAAGGCGCTTGATAATGGTTTAATTAAACGATTTTGATGAATTGTTGTTTAAAGAGGAATTAACGTGGAATCGTTATAAATTATTTAACAGTAGTATTGCATTTTTATCAGACATTAAACTGTGACATATTTTTCTTTTTATAACACCTGGACTTTATGCACTGTTTTTCTATTGATGATAAAAAGATAATATATTTAATGTTTTAAATGATCGCTAACATTGAACAAATCAAACGCTTGTGGATAAAATTACATTATAACGTTTCGTCTTTTGTGATGTTTCAAAAATACGGACCAAAGTGACACTTAAACGCAATTTGCACTAATGAGGAATCTTTATGTAGGTATGAAAGCCTTGAATCACAGATCTTTTGAGAAGTTTTCAATTGAAACTCCGTAGTATCATGCAGTGAGAACTATTGGTTTCGTGTGATTTTACATACAGAATATGATGGGCTTTAATTGAACAGGAATTAACGGGGGCTACATGAATAGATAAGTAAACACTTGTGTGAAGATGTTTTCAAAATGTTTAAAAAATAAAGAGTTGACATAACACTTGAATTATGTTCTAGTCGGTAAAATATGGGAAAAGTTAACTGGTATAAACATTACAGGTTTTAAAATAGTTGTTGTACTTGGATTAAACTAAATAGTAAAAGATGATCTACGTTTCCATGCTACGGACAAATCGTTTTCTATTGGGAGACGTAAGATAAAAGGAGAATTGTAAGTGCTTATTTTAAGTAATGAGCTTCTATCTGTTGGTAGAAAAGCAATCTTCCTGTTTCTAGACAAGACTTGGTACAATATTTTACGGTTTTTGTCGTTATGCACACGTAAAATCCGTGCAAAAATAATATAAAAAAACATTGAGATAAGAGGAAATGATTAAAATTTATTATAACCTTTGATGTTGATTGCTTTCATGTTACATTATATATGGATTAAAATTCCGATGTTTTATTCACGCTTGAAACAAAAGTGAAAAGTGCACTATGACAAAGTTCGGTTACCCACCCAGCGTATCAGCACGAGAAACCACGCCGCGGTACGGATCTTTATCTACCCCTGTGTCGAGACTCGGGTCTCAAACCGTTGGAAAAGAGACCAAAACTCCTATCCATAGTGCCCAAAGGTAACATCTTTACTCGACTTACATAATTATCTTCGGAAATAATAAGCTGATTGTAGATTAATCTAGTAAAATAAGTACTTGTTTTAGACATTTGATAACTTATAGAGTAATAAAGTCACATTAAGCATGGAATTTTTTGGTGAAAAAATCAAGCTATCATTAACTTGTGTATTATATCTATTCGTGACTTTCCCATCAAGACAAGCCATTGAGTTTTTAACAGTTCACGGCAATTAAACAAACCCCCATTCCTCTCGAAAAGACCAATTTTACCAGTTAACAAAGTAATTTATTCCAAACATTAGGAAATTCAAACCCACTTGTTTTCATTCCTTCATAGTTAAGTAATTACGATAATCATTATAATAATTATTTTCATTCTATGATTGTTTTATAGATAATACAAAAAAGTATAGTACCTACGAATATACAGTACAATTATGGCCTTACTTTACTTACAGCGCACGTCAGTAAACTTTTCAATGTGATATAAGTAACGTTAGTCTACGTACAAGAGGTCTATCATGTATTCACCAATAATGAAAAAAGGGCAATAAAAAGCATATCATGTATAATCAAAGAGATTATTTCGGACGGTCTTATATTCTGTTTTATTACGATGGCTTCATATAAAGCATACAGCAAATACTAATGACATTAGGCCATATTAATAAAATAAGACAAAAAGCCCATTGGAGATGCACTTTAAAGCTGGACAATGTACATCCTTTCGTCAGTTTGAAAACGGTCCACAGAATTACTCTAAAACTGTCCAGTAGATATCGACGTATCCGATTTGCAACCTTTGATGTAAGCATGTTCACATTTTATATCGAGTTAAGATTTTGATGAATGATTTTTTTTATTTTTTCCTTTTTGTCGATACTTCCTTTTCCCTTTCTTATTTCACTGTGATATCGTGTTATATTTCTACATTGACTAGATAGTCCCAGAAGTATTGCTGTGTGTGTATGAACTTATCTAGGGCGTTATAGTCATGTCATCACTCACCATCATGGTTCAATTATGTTTTTCATCAAAGTGTCATGGACATCTTAAAATTAAATATCAATAATATTAATAACTTACTTCATAGTTTACAAAATCAATCGATCTGTAGTTTGAAGTCCACCTTTTTGAAAGAGATGGTATTTAATGGTAATGGGTTTTATTATTTAGTGGGCTGTTCGTAAGCATACATTTGAATGGCCCCTTTGTTGTGACTTTTAAGTTGAAAAAGACTTTAAAAGGGCATTTCAATGGAAATAAACAGCTTGGCTTTCGATTGATATGTTTAATTTTTTATTCATAATCGTAGAAAATAAAAATGTTAATCAAAAAGTAAAAATCAATTTTAACACTTAAGATAAATTGAATTTATAGTTCAACAAAAAGGCAGGCCTATGTAATGGTCTCATAAAGTACGGGTAAATATTCAAACTGAATTTGACTTTGGGTATAAATTACATGGATCTATCGAGATTCTTTGTAATCTAAGTGTAAATTTTAATCTGCCAGATTATGAGATAACTTGAAAAATTACAAATATACGCTGATTTTGAGGTGACGGTGGAATACTAATATATACAGATTTAGTATGGAATTTAAACGCTTGAAACTCTTAATCAATAACAAAACTGCCAAAAAATCTAAAACTTGTCTCGAATTTAGGAGGCATGGCAAATGTAAAAGGTAAAATATACTTATTTTCCTCTACAACACATGTAAATTCTCCCTCGTTTTGAGCATTTCTACACTGCTAGTTGAACAATTTGTAATTAAGTGAACATTTTTTCCCTCATTTTCCATAAAGAGATTTTGCACGTTTTTCACAGCATTACACGATAGGACAACTGTATATGAATATTGAACCAAACTGCTATTTAATAAGATCTGAAGGGGAATAAAATTTAATGTTCTACTTAGATGAAGAATACAATGTATCCAGAATTTTCTTATAATTGTTGCTTCTAGTGTAAAGCAGTACATATCACAAGTACTGGCGTAACTGGAATGCTTCACTACATAAACGTTTGTAAATATAATACTTTTTTGAAGAATTTCTTAGGGTTGGTCTAATTAAACGTATTCTGTGAAACTATCGTCACTTTTTACACAATTTTTTAAGCATACCCCTATAGGAATAACGCTATTTTTTAAACAGTGTATGGTCGAGAGTTTGATTCGCGGAAAAGACAACAAATTTATTATCCCAATTTTGTTGAAAATTGTTTTATTGATTGAGTCGATTTGCGTATAATTTCAAGGAACAGTAGAATGGCACTGATGCAGAATTCGCAGGAACTTTGGTATACGAGTATGATATGAACACAAACTTGCTATACAGTGCCTATTTAGCATATCTACATACATTACAAATTAAAATGGATGAGTTTGTAATGTTTAAATTTCCGTTCATGCCATATAATAAAAAATAGAATTATCGGAGATGAAGATACGCAAGTATCATTTAAATGTATAACTTTATTTAGCTCTCAGAGCAGCAATAGCTTAGTTTTTCATTTCCTTCAAAGGCTCTGTGATAACTATTAAGTTATATCCTAATAAAGAATGTTTAGAATAGCTTGTCTCCTCAGAGCGTGATGTAAATAACAACGTCTTAGTTAAATTACCTCACCCACCAACAAACATGAGAATAAATATTTTCGATTTGTAGTTCTTACGTATTTAAAAAAAATCTATCATTAATTTAATCATGCTATTAATCAAGAGTGCCAAATTTCTACTGGTTTTGTTCCAAGGACGTTAATTTTTGTGCACATGTAATCAGCTTAGTAGATTAGCGTGCAGTATCGGTCAAAGTAAATGTATTTTATCATGATTAACTGCATACAAGAAACGGGTTCGACAAACATAAATCACGTTTGTTTAGCTACGAAAACAATGTTAATTTATTTGTGAAATTTTATGCTTTGTTGAGTGTTTTTCACAAATTTTTTTGGACAAGATAAAAATGACTAGGGAGTAGTAGAGAAACTTTTTTAAAAGTAAATTTCATGTCTCTTCTGGAGAAACATCTCGGAACCAAGTGCAAGGGTTGACGTAACAAAATGAGCAACAAAACGACACCGAGGAAGGGCATGTATTTCACTTGGGACATGGAGTTACCTAAGATCTCAAACAACAAAATAACTCTTTCTCGTAACTTGCCCAAAGATCGGGCTTTAGTCCGTCAGTTGACAACAATTGGACCCTTAGCGAGCGAAACTCGCGAGAGACAATTAAAACTGAAAAGACAATATACGAGTTTTGGGGAGTTTCCTAGAATAAAACAACACATAAATACTAATAATGTTTGTGTTTTTACCAACAGGAAGGCTGAAAGAGACCGAAAATGGCAGTTAAAAGGATGGGAAGCCGAAACTAACTCAGAGGACGGTAAAAAATTTATATTTACTTAATTTGGCGGGAAGAGCTTTTTGGTGATAATTTGAGCACAGACGCAATTATTTGAGCACAGACACAAAAAGTTATGGCATAATATTTATGTGGATAAGAATTTGATAATTATTGACATTAGTTTCAGTGTTCTTTCCTACCGCTAGTGATTATAATTAAGCTGTTGTAAACTTTCCATCCGATTGAATTAAAAGATAAAAGAACCAGTACAAATAAACTTAATTGGGACTAAAAAAGTTCCTTATAAGCGATAATTCCTTATTACCGTGTTCGTTATAACCGTATTTTTTATATTAAATAAAGAAGGCAAAATTCGGGGCAAAAAATTGTTCCTTATAACCGGAAGTTCGCTATAACCGTGTACGCTATAAGTGAAGTTTACGTTAGATCGTTTTCTTTATATTTTGAATATTTTGATCAAAATTAAAAACAAGTGATAAACCGACCTTCTTATGTTTTGTATTGCAACCTCAATATATGGACACATTTCTCACCATATCATTATTGTCAAGCAAATACACTCTTATTATTATTATCACAAGATTCCATACCCAATATGAATTGACATACTGTTTATCATGGATTTGAAAGGTTTTGATAAAGTATTATGCATCAGAAAATAAACTATAAGCAGCTTGAATAGTTATGTTGCCGATCAGCAGGCAGGGCACACATTCGATTATTTAGTGTTATGTAAGCTTGTCGTAGGATAGGGCATTTCATTTAATGCTTGATTTATAAGAAATTGCTTTTGTTGAGTCATTAACAAAACATTTAAAATACAATCTATTTATATGAAGCGAACATTGCACAGATTTATGACATGTACATCGGGATCGAGAATTTAAATATACTACTTGATAATTTAAGTTTTCCACCAGAAATAATATATATGTGTACAGTGTATATAGAAACTTAGCAACTAGTCATATGTAAATCAGTACATTGAAAGTTGCAACCAGCATAGAATTGTTGTTCTCTAAACTATCAGAAAATATATACATGAAGTTTTAGATTTAGAAGTTCAACAGAAGCTGTCAAGATCTTTATCAAGCATAAGTTCATAGAAAATGGCTAAAACCAGCTTTTAAAATAGACATTCATCATGGCTAAAATGAGCTGTTAAAATGGACATGCAATAGCTAAAATAAGCCTGTTATCTAAATAAACATAAGAAATTAACAGTCCTAAAATTAAAAAAAAAGCATACAAAACTGTTTTACATATTCAATTTTTTGTAAAAGAACCTATTCACCACATGCTTTTCAATGAAGGTGTTAAATTTCAAGCAAGATCTTTCAACTTTAGATAGCTTTCATGACACTTTAAGTATAACTTTTATATCTTTTTTAAATTGTATATCAATTCTGGCATATTTAAATTTAAATGATCAAATTTAAATGATATTCAAACAACTTTATAGGGGTTTTAAACTGCATTTAAACCTATCTGACCTTAACAATAGATATGTTTTGATACTAAATATGGTGTTGAATTTTAGATGTGGGTTGATAGCTAGGTGGTCTAGTGACCTATTCAGTATTAATGAGAATACATATATTGTGTTTAATTAAGTATTAAGTTACAAAGATGGCTGATCGATTGTAGGCTGTAGACTGTATGTAGATATAACAATATGTAATCTGATATAAGGTAGAGATAACAATATGTATCAATCACAACTAATAATGATGATCTTAGCAGATTTAGGACAATTATTATAATATAAGTGAATGAGGAAATGTCCTGAAATTTTAAAAAAATGTCCTGGATAAAAAAGCAATTATTATTTTAATATGTTTTTGTAAGAAATTGAAAAACAGGTTAAGAAAAAGTACAACATTAATTAAGATATTATGTCTGTTTTATCGAATATAAAAAGTGAAACCAAAAAGGAAATGAAATAAAATCAAAAAGCCAAGTTTTGATACGATTTCCAAATAACTACTTTTTTTACAACAAATTTGCTATTTCAACTCTGAACATTAAACATTATAATTATAATGGTTATTGTTTTGTGAAATCATGTGGTATTAGCTTTATAAACATGGTCTTTATATACAAGTGCACATGACTTACAGATGAAGATTAAAAGTTGTTTTGCCACTCAGCAGAATGATTGTTGGGTTTAAGCCCTACTCTTGACATAGCCATGTTTCATCAGTCTGATGGGCAGACAATTACATGAATTATATAGATATAACTTGAAATAACTTAACAGAAATAATTATTCACAAATGAACTGAAAATAAATTTGTTTAAAATTTTATCTCTGTAGTCAAGACAGGTATTCTGGTCCCACTCATAGACTAGGTACCATGTCTTTATGTCCTTGCTAATTTCTGATTATTGATTTATTTTGCTACTTTTCATAGGAAAAAATATTGTAAAACTGTATTTTCACTTCTGTCATTTCAGGTTTAACGGGATGGATGAAAAGGAAAAATATTTTGGAGTCCAAAAAAGGTGTGTCTGGTATATAAGCTTTAGATTATTAAATTATAGTGTTTATATTTATATTACATGTAATAAAACATCATTTTGAAAAAAAAAAGAAAGAAAAAAACATAAATTAAAAATATTTCAAGTATAAGGAGCAATACAAAATATTTTTATAGGTAAAGAATTTGACATCTTCACAGCTGGGTCTTTATTTTAGTCATAAGTTATGATGACATTTAGCCTATTTAAGCCCTGAAACAATTTCTTATCTTAACTTATGATGATTACTTAGCTTATAAACTTACCCTTTAACAAAGTCATAGTTCAAATTTATATGAAATACGGAGATTATTGAAGATTTAAGCAAGGTTATTGAAATCCAATAAATATCTGAACTTAAAATAATTTGGACTTTAATTTACAAACCCAGTATATACCATACCATAAATTTGAAGTTTCAAGTTAAGCACTGTTCATATGAATCAATCCAACTTTCATTCAAGCTAATTTTCATCTTCCATAATATCAATATAATTTATTCATAGTTTTAGCAGAATAATCAAAATTTTGTTTTAAGGAGTTTAACCCTGAATCGGCTGGAACTGAAAATGATAAGCCTTTGCTACCAATATAGAGCCTGGGGCCAGTCTGCACATTCTGGCAGCCTGACCATGCTCTATATTGTTAGTTGCTCAAATTTTGTATATTGATGTTGAAATCCTTAAATTTTTAAATGGACCATTCCAAATTCAAAGAAGAGCTAACCCATCTAGTTTCTTATCTTCCAGTCTTCTATAATTATATACAAGTACTTAAATTAAACTTTATTAAGACAGGAAAGTGTTAATTTCTGCCCAAGATCTTTTTTTTCTTCATCAATGAAAGACAAATAATTCAATACATAAACATTGTGACCTTGGAAGGAAATAAAATTTGCCCTAAAATTAGATTGTTATAAAACTATTAAAATATCTTTAAATTGCTTAAACTTTAAATGGACAATTTTATTTTTATACAAACATTTGAAAATATTACAGCACAGAAACGTTTAGCACAATTTATCTTTATTTAATGTATACACTTCTTTATCATTTCAAGATAATCTTATTTAAGTCATAATATGTTAAGCATACAGGATATTACTGTATTGTATAGCTGTATATAAACTTGATCTTAAGCCAAAGTGTTTTAAATACTAGACAATTTTAAATCAAGAAACACATTGAAAAGGTGGTGTTTAACTTTTGAATGAAATAAACAGACCAATGTTATGATTTAATACATCAAATATGACAAGTCAATACATTTGTACAGGCTAAATTATATGGCAAACCATTTTGGTAAATATTCGGTAGCCAGTATATGATACATAGCTTTCATATATAGTATAAAAGTGATATATCTATGCTTTAATAGATTATTCTGCTAATACATTTTACAAATTAATTTGTAAATTTAAATGACACATCAAATCTTAAGAAGATGACAACAAATATCTGAAAAAGAATATTCAATAACTACTAAATCTTTAAAACTTACATTAATCACATTTGTACAAGGATAGTGTTGTACAATAAGACACACAAATAAAGAAATCAAATATAAATAGATAAAGAATCTAATTGATATTTATCTATATTAAATAGCTCTATTTATCTCCTATAGATGATTTGTTATGAAGGTTTTTGTCATGTTATATTAATAATAGTGATTAATAAGATATCTGACAGGTTTAATATGGCCCAGTAAAACTGGTTATAAGGTGTACAGCTTGGGTTTTATTAAAAACATTTAATTAAACAAGAACATATAACCTGTCAAAACTCTTTATAAAAAAAATTATTATACAGCACAATTCCTTTATTTGAAGAAAAATGAAAAGTACTTCAGTTGAATTAATGTCATGATTATCCAATGAAAATGAACTTACATTTAGATTATATATCATGAACTGCTATCATTAGGCGTCTGGAATGCCAAATAAAATTCAATTCTTACAAATGTATTTAACCATGGGCCAGTCACCATTAACCTGATGGACAAGTTCCACTTTACAATAATGATCAGCCCCCTATAGCTATGCAGTTTTTGAAAAATCATGAGATTTATAAGAAACAAGAGCCGGGTGAACTGGGTGATGCTCCCCGAATAGGTTTTGGACACAGGAAGGTATACCTCTTGTTGTGTCAGAGTTATGCCACAGACAAAGTTCAAAGTGTAAAAACAACCCAAATATTGTGCACAACACATTGTCTCAATATTGTGATCATTTTTGTGAAATAGTTGTAAAATCCGACTTCAAATAATGAAGTAATGTGCGGGACATGATTTTGCTGCAAGGTCATGACATGACCTTGACCTTCAATGTAGGGACCCAAATGTTGCATGCAGCACGTCAATTCAATATGGTGATCATCTCTGTGAAATAGTTGTTAAATCCGACTTCCAGTAACAAAGTTATGGGCCGGACACGCTTTTTGCTGCAAGGTCATGCTGTGACCTTGACCTTCAAGGTGGAGACCCAAATATTCCGGACCCTGCGTCTCAATATGGTGATCATTTCTGTGAAATATTTTTAAAATCCGACTTCAAATAACAAAGTAATGGACCAGACACGATTTTGCTGCAAGGTCATGCTGTGACCTTGACCTTCAAGGTATCGACCAAAATGATGCGCGCGACACGTCGTCTCAATATGGTGATCATTTCTGTGAAAAAGTTTCAAAATCCGACTTCAAATAACAAAGTAATGGGCCGGACACGATTTTGCTGCAAGGTCATGCTGTGACCTTGACCTTCAAGGTAGCTACCCAAATGTTGCGCGCGACACATTGTCTCAATATGGTGATCATTTCTGTGAAATATTTTTAAAATCCGACTTCAAATAACGAAGTTATGGACAGGACACGATTTTGCTGCAAGGTCATGCTGTGACCTTGACCTTCAAGGAAGCAACCCAGATGTTGCACCCGACACATCGTCTCAATATGGTGATCATTTCTGTGAAATATTTTTAAAATCCGACTTCAAATAACAAAGTAACGGACCGGAAACACTTTTGCTGCAAGGTCATGCTGTGACCTTGACCTTCAAGGTAGCAACCCAAATGTTGGGCGTGACACATCGTCTCAATATGGTGATCATTTCTGTGAAATAGTTTTAAAATCCGACTTCAAATAACAAAGTAATGGGTCGGACACGATTTTGCTGCAAAGGTCATGCTGTGACCTTGACCTTCAAGGTAGCGACCCAAATGTTGCGCGCGACACATCGTCTTAATATGGTGATCATTTCTGTGAAATAATTTTAAAATCTGACTTCAAATAATAAAGTTATGGACCGGACACGATTTTGCTGCAAGGTCATGCTGTGACCTTGACCTTCAAGGTAGCAACCCAAATGTTGCGCGACACATCGTCTCAATATGGTGATCATTTCTGTGAAATAGTTTTAAAATCCGACTTCAAATAATGAAGTTATGGACAGGACACGATTTTGCTGCAAGGTCATGCTGTGACATTGACCTTCAAGGTAGTGACCCAAATGTTGCGCGCGACACATCGTCTCAATATGGTGATCATTTCTGTGAAATATTTTTAAAATCCGGCTTCAAATAATGAAGTTATGGACCGAACACGATTTTGCTGCAAGGTCATGCTGTGACCTTGACCTTCAAGGTAGCAACCCAAATGTTGCGTGCGACACATCGTCTCAATATGGTGATCATTTCTGTGAAATAATTTTAAAATCCGACTTCAAATAATAAAGTTATGGACCGGACACGATTTTGCTGCAAGGTCATGCTGTGACCTTGACCTTCAAGGTAGCAACCCAAATGTTGCGCGACACATCGTCTCAATATGGTGATCATTTCTGTGAAATAGTTTTTAAAATCCGACTTCAAATAATGAAGTTATGGACAGGACACGATTTTGCTGCAAGGTCATGCTGTGACATTGACCTTCAAGGTAGTGACCCAAATGTTGCGCGCGACACATCGTCTCAATATGGTGATCATTTCTGTGAAATATTTTTAAAATCCGACTTCAAATAATGAAGTTATGGACCGAACACGATTTTGCTTCAAGGTCATGCTGTGACCTTGACCTTCAAGGTAGCAACCCAAATGTTGCGTGCGACACATCGTCTCAATATGGTGATCATTTCTGTGAAATAGTTTTAAAATCCGACTTCAAATAACAAAGTAATGGGCCGGACACGATTTTGCTGCAAGGTCATGCTGTGACCTTGACCTTCAAGGTAGCGACCCAAATGATGCGCGCGACACATTGTCTCAATTTGGTGATCATTTCTGTGAAATAGTTTTAAAATCCGACTTCATATAACAAGTTATGGGCCGGACACGATTTTGCTTGAAGGTCATGCTGTGACCTTGACCTTCAAGGTAGCAAACCAAATGTTGCGCGCCACTCGTCATCTTAATATGGTGATCATTTCTGTGAAATAGTTTTAAAATCCGACTTCAAATAACGAAGTTATGGACTGGGCACGATTTTGCTGCAAGGTCATGCTGTGACATTGACCTTCAAGGTAGCGACCCAAATGTTGCGCACGACACATCGTCTCAATATGGTGATCATTTCTGTGAAATATTTTTAAAATCCAAATACAAATAATGAAGTTATGGACCGGACACGATTTTGCTGCAAGGTCATGCTGTGACCTTGACGTCTCAATATGGTGATCATTTATGTGATATAGTTTACAAATCAGACTTCAAATAACAAAGTTATGGGCCGGACACGAATTCGGGACGTACGTACGTACGTACGTACGGACGGACGGACAACCCGACGACTATATGCTCCCCCGAAATTTTTCGGGGAGCATAAAAAATCAGTTACTGCTTGTATATTTTCATATACTATATTTATGAACACTGTATAACTGACAGGAATTAAAACTCTTTTAACTTTGAGCTTATTATAATTATTTTAGTTTTATCTCCCTTGAATAGAAACAAATTCAAAAGTTATAACACAGTAATGTGACTGCATTGTATTTTTTATAGCATTTAAGAAGAAGAAAAAATGTTTTTTAAAATATTTCTAATTGTATGGTTCAGGAAAACTGGATTTTTTTATTTTTGTAAAATAAAATTGGAACATTTTTTCATGGAATATAAATACATGTATTTGTAGACTTCAAAACTAATCAAAGTTTAATTATATATGAAACTGTGCAATATAACATGCAAATTTCAGTAAAGTAATTCATTACAAAACATATCTTACATTTCAGATACTAGGAAAAGGTCTCCCAGATTAGATACAGATTATTACATACCAGTTAAACACAGATGTCCAGGAATAGAAGATCTGGAATTATTCAGAAAAGAAAGCCTTCATATTGTCTTCCAGCCCACATCTGTACCAGATAAACCTATTGCAGAGGATTCACCAGGTATCAAACTTAGATACACAAATAAAGATGTAACTCTTGCACCTGGTGGTTTTGTAGATGGCAATACTGGTGAAAACGATATAGAAAAAACTTTGAATAAATTCAGAGAATCAAAAGCTACCAGCACTGATGGCCTTCATGAAAGACGCAGTAGAAGTGTGCAAGACCTTTCTAAAAATCAGCTGGAAAGGACTAACACTTATCTTAAAATCAAAAGATTAATAAAATTTTCGACAAAAGAACGTCCTCAAACAAAAGTGGACGATGAAGAGGATGAAGGCTATTCATCAAAAACATCGAGTGCAGAGGTAAAGAAGGAGCCTGAGAGTGACAGTGAAGAGAACGGACTAGACAGACTGGAACGACAACGTATGTTCTCAAGTATGGTTGATCTTACTGAACTGCCATCACATTCTAACGAAGTAGGAGGAGGTAATTATCAGATCAGGGATTCACGTGGAATCGAAGATGCAAAAGTCATCGGAGAAAGTCTAACTAGTCGTGTTAAATTCTCATACACACATCAACCAACAATTTTACAACTGCCAGATCCTGATGTGAAACTAAGTCCTGATAATTTAAGAGTTGAAAAACGTATAGAGAATGAGGATACAAGTTGGTCATATGCAAAACTTAAACGAGACAAGGAATTAAATCGGTGCTATAAACCTGAACTTCTACAACAATCGGAGGACAGTTCTATATATGATCTAGATAATTTAAAACCAGTGACATTAGTGCTAAGGAAAATAAGTATTCAAAACGCAGATGAAAATATGCCACCTGTTGTTCAGGGAAATAATATAGAAATAAATTCATCTGAAAATACTGTAAGCCCTTCACACAATAGATCAAGTATGGGTACAAGCGTAGGGTCTAGAGTTGGGTCAGCATTATCTAGAGATGGTTCAATATCAAGAAATGGTTCAGTTAAGTTTGGTGCTGGCTCACCTATGCCAATGTTGGTTGGTTCACCAGCCCCTATTCCAACATCACCACAGAACTTGTCTGCACAGAACAATACAAGTAGATCTTCTCATAGTAGAAGAAGTGGTGGTGGAATTACTCGCGTAAATTCTGCTGTCTCTCAAAAGGAACTTTTGCACAAATCTCAAAGAAGTAAAAATGTAAGAGATGTTCGAGTAGTTAATGATGAAAAACCAAAAGAACCCATGTGGAGTCAACAATATTCATACATTGACAGACAAACAATTGACAGACAGGCAACAAATTATTGCATAGGTGACTTACTACCTGCTGTAGATAAAAACATTTATACCAACAACTCTTCAAGGACTATGTTTAGCATTAAACCTGAAAATGATAGAAAAAAGGAGGAGTTGACGACAACAGAACTTCTTGATATGAACATACAGTCAGTGGATGATGGTTATATTCTGTTAAAGAAAGGCATGGATTTGTTGACCGGGAGTGCGGAAAAGGTAGATATTCTTTCTTAAATATCATCTCATTAACTAACTGCACATAATAGATGGAATTTACAGATAAACAGCTTTAAGTCTATATAATGGGCTTTGGAATAAGACATTTTTATCACAAATTAAAGTCCTTGTAAACAAAAACTGGTAATTGTAGAAAAAGTATTTTATAACTTATTATACCATTAAAGGACTATTTTGATATTGTTAAAGATTAGATTTTATTTCTAAATACTTTTCTTTAATGTAAATTTTCTTTTGTATATTTTTATTTATAACAATTTACCTAGATGAAACAAGACACATATTTCTTTATATGATAAAATAATATTTTCTGTACAACTAGTAATAATTTCAGCTCATTAAATTCTTAAACAATAAATTAAAACAGAAACCAGTACTAGAGTTATTCATCAAGTATATGTTAATATACATGTACATGTATCATCTAAATATTTCATCATAACAGTACATGTATACATATACAAACATATTTTTTAGTTGATGTAGTATATAAATCTATAGATTTATTACATGTTTTAATACAAAACATAGTGAAATTATTGTGCTGGGCTTTATCTCTTAAGATAGTACATATGTAGTGAATTACTGAAACTAATATTGCTCTGCCTTGGACGCAACTTTGTCTTATGAAATAGATAATTATACTTAGTAATAGCATATGCTAAATCATCAGTTAATACAAAATCATAAAGTTAGATTGTAGCTCTTAGAACTGATGGAAAATATATTGTCTATTTTATACTTTACTTAGTTGTAGATTATCAAATGAATATTAATGGACACAGCAATGGTTCAAAACATAAAAACTTTTATATTCAAGAAACAGGAAAAAATGTTGTGAAGGTGTGACTAACTTTTGATATATAGAAGTAATCATGATGTATACAGTCTAGTAACTTGTGTTTAAGATCCACCTTTAAATAAAGACAACAATAAAAACAACCTCAGTAAACTTCAGTCATTTTTTTCATTCTAGTATATTTCATCTCTACTGTATCTATCACAGGACATTTCATTATTTACCTGTTTCAAGAAATGGTCTTTTATCATTGCAGACTATAGTTGTATTGTCATTATATTCACAGGTTTGACCATATTCTGTAACCCAGATAAAACTATTTTTTTTCAGTTGCGTAACAAGAAAAAGACTTTGGTATTTTACTTTATTTTGTACATGTTTTAACCCCCCTCACTTTTAATCCTACAATTGCAAGATTGTTTTTTGTACTCTCACTCTCAGGTTAAGGATAATTAATTAATTCTGATAATTGGAAACACAACAAATTTATGGCACTGAAGACTTTGAATGGTGGATGGGAAATCATAATTATCTTACTATTTATGTATAAGTAACTTTTTACATATTGATGAGGATATTTTTTTGTGTCTCCTTGAAAAGGCGACATATAGGGGTTACTTTTGTCGGCTGTGTCGGCATCATTACTCTGCGCTTCTTAATATTTGAGTTATAGCCTTTCGTTAATTTTCATACTTTATTTTTGTCTGTGCCATTTCTCCTAAACTATAAAAGCTATGGACTTGAAACTTCATGGGATGATAGACCTCATTAAGATACAGTGCAATGTTTAAAAACAGGTAATCGGTATTTGATGATTTTTAAGCTATTGCCCTTAATTTTCTTACATTATTTTTGTCCAAGCCATTACTCCTAAACTATAAAAGCTATGGACTTGAAACTTCATAGGACGATAGATCTTATTGAGAAGAAAAGCAGTGTACAAAAACTAGTACTTATTTTTTGAGTTATTGCCCTTTGTTAATTTTCATATTTCATTCTTGTCCTAGCCATTTCGCCTAAACTATAAAAGCTATGGACTTGAAACTTCATAGGATGATAGATCTTATTGAGAAGAAGAGCAGTACACAACAACCGGTACTCTGTAGTTCATGATTTTAGAGTTATTGCCCTTTGTTAATTATTATACTTTCTTTTTGTCCGGGCCAATTCTGCTACACAATAAAAGCTATTCAAGCTACATCAATCCTCATGTAACATTGTTACAATCAATTCAAATGCCACTAAAGTTCAAGTTACATGTACATTATAAGAGTGGTGTTTATAAGAAAAAAATGCCTAAGGGACAGCTAAACTGTTCATAAGGCAACACATCCGATTCGCGTTCTAGTTTAATCTAAATCAATTTTCAATTGCAGGTGCTTTTATTTTGAAATAAGTAATGTTAAAAGTTTGATTTTGCCATTAAAATTCTCAAAAGAGAATATTAAAATTCACTCATTTTGTAAGACTTTAACACAATTTTGCCAACAGCACACATAAATTACTAACTTCTCAAGATTAAAAACACATTATTATTCTTAACACATAATATATTACCATGGCAACAACTTGTTTATGGAATGGATGCTATTCAAACATTTTAAAGTGGTGATAATCTTATACAAACAAAATGATTCTTAGCTGTCAGACTAATCAGGCCAGCAGCTCAAATGACAAATTGTAGCTACCCAGTATCCTGACCAAACTACTGCTTGGTATAATTTTGTTCTTCATAATTTTCTTATAATGTCCTGAATTCAAAGCAAGACAGAAACATTATATATTATCAGTGGTGGAAGATTTAATAACAATCAAAAATTATATTCTGAGAACAGAAGTAAATGGTGCACTCAATCTTGGCAAATAACTTGGGTAAAATTTGGTTCAGTTTCTACTTACAGGAATGAAAAGTTTATGCATATTAAAATATTTAATCTGATAATACATGTAAATTAAAATCTGTATTATAAGTATTGAAATATCCTATGCAAAGTAAACTCATTTGTAGTTAAACCAGATTAAAAACAAAGGAAAGTTACAAAGATTTGTCTTCAGTTGAAAAGTATTATTAGGTTATCTACCTTGTGTAACATTGACTTATTCATGCAATGAACTCTGCTGATCCTTAATAAGGTCATGAATACCAGTGAATTGACTTTAAATAAAAAAATCTTCTCAGGTAAAACTATTCCATAGACAACATTTACCTAAGAAACATATATATATATGGTTGTAATATATTATGAAATGACTATACTTTTTAATGTATGTTAGTTTGGTGTTTAGTCATGTCCTTAAATATGATGATGGTGTTTTTATTTGGCACTATGTCCTATGCTCTTATTTTCCTATTCATCTATGTCAGTACTCTTTATATATATATTTCAACTATTTTGCAAAACATGAGAATTTGAAACAGATATAAACAATGTACTATTTAACTTTGATTTGATTGTGTGAAGTTAGCAAGAATAGCAGTCAGTTTATTTAAAATACAATTAAATTTTGAAAAATTCACATATGAAAATTTTTACTGTTAACTCTTTTGCACTCTAATAGTGATAATGATAGGCATATGCTGCCCAGAAAGTTTTAAATCTAAAATATTTAATATTATGATGTCTGACCAATATTTATTGCTTTCTGTAAATGCAATTTTAGCATTTTGATATTAAAATTGGTTTAGTTAAAATGGACAGATAAAATTTTTAAAAACAGGCAACTCCTTTATAGATTTGAGAAGTCATGGTGCCTAAAACAATGTGAGTAATGTGACATTTTATTATCTGCATGGGGCAAAAAACACCAATACAAAAGACCGTACAGGTTTTATAAACATCTATAACTTTTCAAATATTTCTTTTTTTTTCTAGTGGGCAAAAATGTAGAAACTCCCTTATTTTAGTGAGTAACACATGCATAGAATGTTCTGTTTTGCTTTTTTTGTTGAAATTGGAAAGGGAAAATGCATGTTTGAACAATCAGATATACATGCGGTTTCATATCATAAATATAAGATATTTTCCGAGGAAACATTCTACATATAGGTTACTCACTAGAATGAGTGGATTCTTACACTTTATTCCATAAACAATAATGAAATCTTTAAAAAGTTATAGAAGAAAATGAAACCTGGACCGTGACTTTTGTATTTGTTGTTATTTTTGTCCCCAAGCAGATGACACAAAAAGCAACATGGTACAGGCACAGTGAAGGTTAAAGAAAATAAATAAAACTCAAATAAATTAATAAATATGCTCATTAAATATCATACATTTAATATTATTATTATAGACAAGTGAAATATTGTTACAATGCTTTTTTTTCATAACAAAATATTGAAATTTGGTCACATAAATATCAAATTAATGATGTATAACAAATAAGAGTCATTGCTGACCTTTTGCCTTCTTTATTTATGCACGCTCAATACTTAGAATATTAAGGGAAACAACTCTAGGACAGTACTTGCTATGTATTTGTTATAGTTATAGAACATGCATCATAATGATACATATATAAACAGTGTATATCCTCTTGATAACCAAGTCATTTGTATAAGAAACATATAACTTTAAATTCTTTTATACAATTCTACATTATTCAATTATAAATACACTACTTAGGCCAACCTTATAAACAGTACTGAATGGACAAAGCTCTATAAAGTATGTACAGTCTGGTCAATGTACATGGATGTGCCAGCTGTCCTCACTTTTTACAAGAGGCAAGAGCCTGTCACAACAGTATAACAATGAAGCTTCAGTATGTATCATAGAGACTCTTAGAACAGGCTTTAAAAAGTGGTCTTAAGTATGATATTACTTAAAATAAATGGAGAAGTACTACAGAGTTAATTAACAAAAGAACATAATTAGGACAGGGACATTTTATCATATTATGTTTTATTTTTAATAAATGAATTTTTTGTATGGTATAAAGAATAAAGTTAAATCATAGACACTTGGGGTGTGGAGCTCAAAATGCCTTTAAAATCCAAATAAAATGTATATTTGTCAATCCCAGCACATGTACTGATCATATATATCAAACAAGAGGGCCATGATGGCCCTGAAGTCGCTCACCTGTATATAGGCCCCCGAAGCAGGGCCAGTTTAAACCCTAGGGCTTTTATTTGAACAAACTTGGTAAACACCCATTAGAAGATGTTTCATGCTAAACATCTAAGGTCTAGCTGGTCAAGTTTTTTCTTTACACATATAGTTAAAAACAATGACACACCTGGGGCAGGGCCAGTTTTGACCCAAGGGCTTTTATTTGAACAATCTTTGTAGACACTTACTAGAAAATGTTTCATGCTTAATATCTAAACTCTAGCTATTCGGGTTTTTTCAAGAAAGTTTTTGCTATACACATATAAGGAAAATCAATGTCCCCCAGGGCGGGGCCAATTTTGACACCAGGGCTTTTATTTGAACAAATTTGGTAGACACTCACTAGAAGATGTTTCATGCTTAGTATCTAAACTCTAGCTATTTGGTTTTTTTCAAAGAAGATTTTTTAAGTTTTTACTATATGCATATAGGTAAAATCAATGACCCCTGGGGCGAGGCCAATTTTGACCCCAGGGCTTTTATTTGAACAAACTTGGTAGACACCCATTAGAAGATGTTTCATGCTAAATATCTTAGTTCTGCATGGAATGGAATTCTTTGAACAACTTTGTTAAGGCTTCACACAAGGAACATCCCTGTGAAGTTTCATTATGATCTGCCTTATGGTTTCAGAGGAGATGTTGTTTTAAAAGTGTGAACGGACAACGAACGACGGACGACAGACGACGGACGAAGAGTGAATCTAATAGCTCACCATGAGCATATGCTCAGGTGAGCTAAAAACTTAATATAAGCCATTTTGAAAAAAAAAAAAAACATATTTCAACGTCTATTATAGATCTAATACTATAGACGTTGAAATATGAATTTTTTTGATATCTATGATCAGTACATGTGTTGGGATCGACAAATATACATTTTATTTGGATTTTAAAGGCGTTTTGAGCTCCACACCCCAAGTGTCTGTGAGTTAAATGACATTATTGATGATGAAATATGTGAAATGATAAAGATAATTAAACAAATTTATTTAGACATATGTTACAAATGTACTGTTATATAAAATGTTTTATATGGTCTCGAGACAAACTTAACGATTTTTTCATTACATTGAACATTATATACTTTTGCATGTGACAGATGAACTAATGTTTTACTGATATTAATTATATTTGATATTTCTTATCATTTTCCTGTATATACTATGCTCAAATTTGATGTTTGAAAATATTGATAATTGCTATTGTCCAACAATATTGACCTGGCACTTCATTAACTTTTGTAAAGGTCATTTGAATATACACTGACCAGTATCTATCGAATATATCAATATATTTGCCAACTTCACTCGTCAGTGAGCTTTGGTGTATTGGTGTAGATGTCAGACTACCAATCTAAAGGTCGCTGGTTCAATTCCTTACCAACATCACGTTATGATTTTTTTTTTTAAATTTACTTGCAAATTAATTTGAAATCATTTTACTATACCTGATTTTATAATACCTTTTAAATAGTGTTTTATACAAAATTATATTTTTATATCATACGTTTCTCTTTGTGATGTTATGCAATCGAATATGCTTTATCGCATACACGCTATATAGTAAGTAAGAAAAGATTATTCTTGTAACATAGGCCTCCAGCCTCAAATACAACATAATACTACAAACATGACATAGCAATGGAAAATACAATGAGGTGATCATCAATATACATAGTATATTGAAATATGAACATTGGTAGACATAATAAAGGCAGTTATTTGAAATACTACATAGATAGGACACACAACAAAAAGGTTTGCGATAGTTTTAAGAGGGTGGCAATTTTAAAATTAAAATAAAAAGTAAATCGCTGAAACAGGATTTGAACCTATAAGTTTACGTCTAGAATCTTCAAGTCAAGGCCCTTTACCTACTGCGCTTAGAGGGATTTTTTAATTTACACCATTTCAACAATTGGATATTTACATTCATATTGATTTACAAGTAGATTGTAACGTTTATGGAAAATACCCACAACAGGGTCAAATGCAAGAGTGCCAGGTCAATGTTGTTGGACAATACACAGTCTCTTTGTAAATATAAAATGAACATATTTTTATTTCATTTAAAGTAGATATGCCATGTTTCAAACTCTACACACTATAATTATGTGGACACAATATGAATATATACTGTCATTAAAAAAAATCTGGCAGTTTTTTTTAAGAAAAGACCAACTTTACTTGACCATTCATAAGGAATGCAGCTTCCCATACATAGTTTATACATTCTATTATTCAAATCAAACATACTCAGCAAGAATTTCATGGATTTCAATTAATTTCTGCAATAAAAATATTTTACCAAAAGATGAGTATATTAAATATACCTTTAATTTGAATTGTATCAATATACCAAGTTGATTAAAAGAGTAACACTTAATAGAGCATATCATTTATAATAATCATGATTTAAAGAGAATTTTAGCTTAATTTCTTACAGTCTTTTAATATGAAACCATTACAAGGTTATATTTATTGGCAATTTGATATTTAGATAATTTTTAGTACAAAAGGTGATACAAGTAGATAGTGATGCAATTTGAAAGTATTAATGACCAGTGACAAATCAAAGTCTTAGATTATTATAAGGTAACCTCTAACCATTACCACACTGATTATGTGTAATGGTCTTGTATTGCTTTGAATTTGGAACTATTTTTTCTGATATCGAAGGTTTTCAATATAAAAAAATAGGCAGCTAACAATAAAAAAATGGTAGCCAAAAGGAACAATACCCCAAGATCAGGTTATATACTACATTACATAAGCCTTCAAGGGTTTCAATCACAACAACAGTTTTTTACACAATTTGTGTATTAATTGTATAATCACAAAGTTGACTTTAAAAAATCTTCAGAGTAAAAAGAAATAGAAAAAAGTCTCAGAGCTTGGCAAGTACTGTAGACAGTAAAATACTGTAATACTATACAAGTCATGTACTTAGTAATGAAATCCTTACTTGTCATTGAGTAATTTGTTAATGCCATATTATATCAAATAAAATAATCATTGTTATGGATTTTTTCATATGTTAATAAAATTATAAAATCCTATTTTGATAATAAAAATATTCACATTTTTATAGTTATCTGCACATTTTCATAGAAATCTTCATATTTTGATTGTAATCTTCATATTTTCATGGAAATCTGCATATTTTCATAGAAATCTTCATATTTTCAAAGAAATCTTCATATTTTCAAAGAAATCTTCATATTTTACAGTTTATCAGAGATTGGCAGGTATACATTGCTCACTGTCATAAAACAAAATTTTTGTTCAAAATTACTCACCATTAACCTCAATTAATTGTGTTCAACACAGATGTTGTTGTCATGTTAGGGATGAATTAATATATTTTCTAAAGTCAATGATTTAACAAACAATAACTTACATGTATTAATTATAGAAATATGACAATACAAGTACAGAACATGCCTTCTTCTAATGATATTACTCAATTTATATTATTTCTAAATCAATGAAGAAACATTGCTCTTAGTTTTAAAGACTTTTCAGATTTTTTTTAAAAAAAGGTAAAGAAAGACCACTAGTGCTCTGTGTGCATGATTACATGTACAAACATCAATCTCCCCAGCTTCCTAACATCAAATAATTAAATAATACAGCATTTTGGGGCAAATAATTAGATGTTGGTGACCTGAGTTTGACTCCTGCTAATCTCTATTACATTTGTATCATAAATGAGCATGCATTAAAAATATAGATAATGATAAAACACTTAAGATTGTGAATGTAAATGTATTGTAATTGAATAATGAACATAACATAGTGTTAAACCTTGTGTGAAAAGTAGATTAAGGACTGGTGTTACAAATGACTGACAAAAGGTGGGATAGGGCTAGTATAGGTTTACAGAGGAGAGTGGAATAAACTCTGAAGAAACATTATTTTTTTTTATTCATACACAACAACCTAATTTGTATGTTAACATAGTTATATGGTTAGTTGTGTGACTTGATTACATCTTACAATCTGTGTTGTAATTTGACATTTTTAAAAAAAAAAAATTATATACATTATGTTTTTTTCTTTAAATAAAAAAGAAAAGAAAATTTATATCTATTTTAAATTGAAATTAACATGTGAAATACATTTACATTATTGTAATTTTATTTAAACCATATTTTGAAGATTTTTCTCTGTGATCTAAAATTTAGAAATGCAACACAAATGACTTAATTTCAACAGTTGTTTTTATCTTGTATATTTCTCTGTGAAATGTTAATGTACTTCAATGTTTAAAATTGATAATCTTTACCAGTGGTATATAATATGTTTTAACTTTTAACATAGCATGGAATAAAATTTGAACATAATCATGTTTACTTTGAGTTGGAATAAAACTTTCTTTTTTATCATACAGTTACAAGTTTTCAAAGTTTTTAAAACTTAATTATGAAAAGATTCTGCAATATCATTTTATATCATTTTATCTTTTACTCAAAATAAATCTGAAAATAATTTGAACTGAAATGTTTGTACAAAATGTATTTCTTCACCAGTTTTTATGTTTTACAGTACATAAAACTTTTGAAAACTAATTTGCCAACAACCTGAATAATTATGATGCAAATAGAAGATATTTAAATTTGTCAAAATATACATATTCCAGAATGAAATGGTGTTAATTACATAATAACAGAATGTTTACTGCAGCTGATCACATTTCTAACTTTCCTATCTTCTAACTGTATGACCATTACTAATATTAATATTCTACTTGTATTTAGCCCACCCTTGGACCTCCACCTTTCCGACCTAACCAATCACGTCATCCACTTATGCGTAGTGTGACAGTCATTATAGATAGCAAAACAGACAGTGGACACAGTCATGTATGTATATATAAATATGTATATATGTGTTCTGCAATAAGATACCTTTGTTACAGAATGGCGATGTTCAGGAACTAGGCAAATGTGGGTACTTCCCATCTAATCCTGGGGTACAAACAAACTTTTTAGTAATTAGTTAATTATTTGATTATTTGGTAAATATATTGATAATAAGTGTATCATGTCAAACACTTTTGTAAACTGAAGTGCACACTGTCGAGCTTACTGAGAAATTTTAGTTTCTTTGTAACCCGTGATAAGATGGGAAAAACAATCATTTACCAAGTTTTGGAAAACATCAGATTCTATTATGATATGGAGCACCCATGTTACAAGACTTAGTGTTATTATTAAGAACACTATTGTTGCATGATGAATTGACCCCCACCAATAAAATCAAAAAAGGGGATATAGAAATGGCATTGTCCATCTCTTCAATCAATTTGTCCAATTTTCTTTTGAAATTATGGACCTTTAAAAATTAAGGTGAATTTGTCTCAGCCACACTAAGCATGATTTCTATATAATAATAAGGAGATGATTACCTCATCAAAATAAATACTTTCAAAATTGGATTGTGTGTTATATTGAGTTACTGACGTGCCAGCTGATCTTGGTCCTGCATTTGTCTCATAAGTAGAATCTGTAGCCACAAGCAAGCTAAAGATTTATAGATCTTTAGTTAAAATGTCTATTTCAATTAGGAATTAATGACATTAAATTTCATCAAGGCCAAAATACTTTGCCAAATACAAAGTATGTATTTAATATATATCATTAATATTCCTGGTCTAATTTAATTTAATGAGTCTAATCATTTAATCATAAATTAGCATTTTACACTACACTCGAATCCTAAATTGTAATTCAAAGTAGCCAAATGACATTATTTAATGTCATAATGATAATTTAATGTAAGTTTATCTCAAAAGAGCGACCTTTACTATATGAGAGCTATTTTGCTAAAGTTTGACTGTTCAGTTTTGTGGGCTTTGTGTTTCATGAAATGTGATTTTCACTTAAACTCTGTAAAAGCTTATATCAAGTGCTTTGTTTTATTCAATGAATGATATCAATTGTTTCATTCAGTTTTTTTTTTTCTTATTTTTTTTTTTTACTTTTTCCAGTACATTGTAATTAAGTTTTACTAAAAAATCACAGAAAAGGCCCATACTGGAATGCTGTTCTTTATTCTGAATCCCAGCATGCACATCATTTTCATTGGTTTAGAAAAACAAGTTGGAGAAATATTAAGATGCTTTGAATTACAATATCTATCTCTTCACAATTATTATTTTATTTACTATCAATCTGTTGTCTCTACTAAATCACACACAGCTTATGCTTTTGAGATAGTGCAAAATTAATGTAGTATTGAACACTTATTTCATATAACTTGTACCTATTATAAACATTCTTTGTTTAGAAGCAAAATTCTTATTAAAATTCCAACTTTTGACCTTAGTATTTTAAAACCAGTTAGCCTGCAGGCAGCACATCTGAATCTATCCATGGGACCTGTGCATACCAAGATCAGCCAGAACATCTTTTCCTTCAGATGGTCTGCACTGTTTGCTATACAGTCAGTAATTTTTCTCTTACAGTGTAGCAAGGCTTAAATATAGATTATGTATATCACCAGATATCTCAGTTACTTGAAGCTTATTTGAAAACCATTTCACTGATAACACTGTATTTATAACAAAAACTGATTATTCTCATATATCTGATCTGAACATTTCAGGCTCCAATGCTTGGCCAATCAGGAAATAAGACAATAAGAGTCAACTCCGATAAAGGGTAAGTTATAAGTGAAGCTTCAGTACAACATTTTGATTTAGCAGTGGTAATTACATCAGTACAATAATAATTGGAAGTTAAAATGCTGGGCTAGATTAGTTGTTTAAAACAGGATACACTTTGTTAGTAAAACAAAAATGAAATGATGATATTTATTATCAGATAAAACAGTTAAGTACAGTAGTAGGTAAAACAGTTAGATACAGTAGTAGATATTACAGTGAGATACAGTGGTAGATTAAACAGTGAGATACAATAGTAGGTAAACAGTGAGATACAGTAGTAGGTAAAACAGTAAGATACAATGGTAAGTAAAACAGTGAGATACAATAGTAGGTAAACAGTGATATACAGTAGAAGGTAAAACTGTAAAAAAACAGTGGTAGGTGAAACAGTGAGATATAATGGTACGTTAAACAGTGATATACAATAGTAGGTAAACAGTGAGATACAGTAGTAGTTAAAACAGTGAAATACAGTAGTAGGTTAAACAGTGAGATACAATAGTAGGTAAAACAATGAGATACAGTAGTAGGTAAAACAGTGAGTCACAGTAGTAGGTAAAACAGTGAGTCACAGTAGTAGGTAAAACAGTAAGATACAGTATATGTGAAACAGTGAAATACAGTTGTAGGTAAAACAGTGAGATACAGTAGCAGGTAAAACAGTGACATACAGTAGTGGTAGGTAAAACAGTTTGTCTGTTCGATTGGGTTTTATGTCACACCAACACAGTATAGGTTATATTGCAACAAAGAGTTAGAAACAGTAATAGGTAAGACAGTGAGATACAACAGCAGGTTAAACTGTGATATATATACAATCGGAGATAAGACAGTAAGGTAAAATTGGAAGATATAATAGCAGGTAAAACAGTGTGATACAGTAGTAGGTAAAACAGTTGGATACAGTGATACTGGTAAAACAGTGAGATATAATAGCAGGAAAACAGCTAGAAAAAATAAAGGTAAAACAGTGAGATAATTGGCAAGTAAAACATTAAGATACAGTTGCAGGTAATTTAAGCTTAAAAGTTGTTTTGCTGCTACTCTTATCAGCTTTTCTTTATTAGAAAAAGGTTTCAGATGACCTTCAAATTATTTCAGTCACAAATGAAAACCAGAGTAAGACCACTGACTCTCTGTAGGCTAGCTAGATATGTTCCCTCAAATAATAAATAGTTGCTGGCATGAATCAAACCCTCATCAGCAAGATGATTGAAGTCAATGACTTAAACTACTCAACCAAAAAGGTTTCCTTAAAAAGCACAAAGCATTTTCAATTATTCAAACTAAACAAAATGATGGGGAAAAATTAATTGATAACCCCATAGTTAAAGTGCTTTTTGAATTTTATCACAAATGAAAATAGAATCTGATCATATTATATTGAGAAGAAAAAAAATAATTTTAAAACCAAATGAGCTGCGTCATGACAAAACCAACATAGTGCGTTTGCGACCAGCATGGATCCAGACCAGCCTGCATATCCGCGCAGTCTGATCGGGATCCATGCTGTTCGTTATCAGTTTCTCTACTTGTAACAGAGTTGGTAAACGAACAGCATGGATCCTGATCAGACTGCGCGGATGCGCAGGCTGGTCTTGAACCATGCTGGTCGCAAACGCACTATGTTGGTTTTGTCGTGACGCGGCTCAAATTACTTTTTATTTTCAGACCAAGGTTCAATATGGTAGATGATGATAGGGAGACTCAGAAGAAATTGAAAGATGCTTTTAGTAAATTCTACAAAAATAGACCAAAAGAAATAGGGAAAGAGTTTAGAAAAATGGAGACAATGTGGAAGACATGATATATTGAACAGATAATTAATTTAGGAATTAATGATATATTAGAAATAGTTAAAATATAATAAAGTGACTGAACCATGCTTCAGAATATAAGGATAATGAAACCAGTATCAGATTTGTGATTGGTTATTTTTATAAAATTGTGCTCTGAATCATTTCAGATTTCAAAACTTACTTATTATATAATATGTGTATTTATTAGCAATTGTGGTGCAAAGTTGCTTTATGCATGAAAGTATCCAGTGAAAATTGTTTTATTATGGCCCCCACTATAGGGGGGCATTTAGATTTACCCTTGTCCATCTGTCCAGCCACCTGTCCATCCAGTTTTTTTATGTCGCATGTAGCTAAAAAAATATTTGACCTAGTCATGAAACTTTACAGGAATATTGGTCAGCATGTGCAGTTGTGCACCTGATGTTTCGCTAGTAGCTTTTTTTTCAGTTTTGTTAGAGTTATGGCCTTTGACTTAGAAAAAATTTACAATTTTCAAATTATGTCACATATAACTCAAAATATATTTGACAAAGTCATTAAACTTTACAGGAATGTTGATCAGCATGTGTATAGTTGTGCACCTGGGTGATTGCTTTTAGATTTATTCTGAATTTGTAGAGCTATTGCCCTTGACTTATTAAAAATTTGCAATTTTCAACTTGTGTCGCTTGTCACTCAAAAAGTATTTGACATATGGTCATGAAACTTTACAGGAATGTTGCTCAGGATGCAAAGTTGTGTAATTGAAGTATTGCTTGTGTATTAATTCTGCTATGTGAGAGTTATTGCCCTTGAATTAGTAAAAATGTGTTGTGTATATCTCAAAAAGTATTTGACCTCGAGTCATGAAACTTTACAGAAATGTTGCTCAACATATGGATTTTTTCCAGTGTTGTTAGTTATTGCCCTTGACTTAGTATATATTATAGACTTGTTCATGCAAAGCTCAAAAAGTATTTGATTAGTAGTCCTGAAAGTATACAAAAAATGTTGGTCCGATGTGTGTTATGCACCTTTGGGTTTGCTTGTGGATTTATTCATTATTTGTAGAGTTTTTGTCATTAACTCAGTAAAAGATTTTCAGTTTTCAACTTGTGTCAGGTGTAGCCCAAAAAATTTAGCTTAGTGTCATAAGATTGACAAAATATTGGAGTGTGGGAGAACCCTTGTCTGTTGGACACATTTCTATTTATTTAAAAGGTTTTGGGGTGGTATTTGGATATGTATAATCAATGTATGTTGGGACCATTGGTTTCAAAAGACACTTATTATAATATATACTAAACATAAAAAAAACAAATAAATATGTTATTAAGTTAAAGTGGCTTTTATTTTAAATATCCAAAGGATGAGTGAACAGAATTGATGTGCTCTATCATTCACAAAATCATTTCGTAAGAAAAAGAGCAATAAACAGTATATATACATATGAGAAAGATGGTCACATACCAAAATATAAATAAAGTATTTATAAGTAAAAATATCTTTTAAATACATTTAGGCTTTAATCAAGTGGATGTTAAAAAGATTCTAACAATACATTACAGAAAAAGCTTCAATTTAATTGAAGTCTGACAAACAAAAGTGATCATAATCTAAAATGATCGATCTCCTATATGACATAGCTATCATTAATCATTATGGCTCTATGTGCACATTATAAATGATTATGAGATTTTTCAGTACTTAACAACACTTGACCATATATAGCACCTCTGTGACCTTGACCTTTTGAGCTGCAGAGGCCAGAATTGTCTGTCTGACACACTGTCACATGATGTTGAAAATGTGTCCCATGTTATTCCAAATTACTACAAAAAGACAATTTACATGGCATATTTATAGATGTACTCCAATTTTGACCTTTTACTTTTATGTGTGACAAACATGATTTTAGACTCACAAATGGATTATATAAGGGGCCATGTCTTTTATTATAATCTTCTGTTGAAAAGAGGACTAATTGTCCCCTTGTGATATTGCTTTGAAATAAATCTGATGTTTGTGATTTTATTTTTCATCTTACCAGTTACATTTTAGCAATCTTGATATTACTAAAAATACTTTTATGAATAGTAAAGTATTGTGTCTATACCACAATAAAAGCAGGCCAGTTTGACCTCTTGTAATCATACAGGTCTATATACAGTTAGCTCCTATTTTTTAATGCAAGTGCATTTTGTATTTTGATTTTTAAATCCCATAAAGTTAGCATTTAAAGATACAGTATTGTTCATAATTATATTACAACACACATGTAAAAGCACTGATCAATTGTAATTATCAACAGCTGACCTTATGTTGCTTAACAAAAGTTTCAAGATAAATGCAGTAAACTGTATGTCTGTGTGTACATGTGTGTCAATTTATTTGTCATATATCCTGTCAATGTATTGAACATATGGGATTGAACATATGGACAAACATATAGATCATTTAATTATTACTAGGACTAAAGATTTAACAGGTTCTATATGATGTTTAAATTGCTGAACTTTATATTAAAACACCAATCAAATTACATGTGTCTTTGAAATTGAAATATTCCAAGCTTTAAAACATTTTCTGTGCAAGTAATGCATTACATTATTTGATGTATATACATAGCATTTGCATACAAAAACACAAATCTAATTGCTTTTATTAATGAAGTTCTCCATAACACTAAAATGTTACATTTATTCACATTGAAATGGTTAGTTCTAGGTTAACAGACATCCATTTCTTTTTATTTTTTTCTCTGTTAAATATCTTGAAAAAGGGGCCAATTCTATGAAATCCAAGTACAACTGTACATAAATTTTCTTCAAATCAGAGAATTTACTACCTACCCTTCGGTTTTCCATTCTACAATGAACCTTCATCAATAAAAATTAAACATTCTAATTACATGTTATATTGGTCATCTGATCTTTGGAACAAAATGATCATTTTTAAAGAAATATATATGTTGCAGAAGCTATTTTCTAGTTTTAACATAACTATCATCTTGATAAAGCATCACTCTATGAAAGTTAGAATCACACAAGGAAAGTGAACAAGTATACCAAGATTGTAGTGAATAGTTTGATTAGTTTCTGAGAGGGTCATGAGGGCACTGTTTTTATCAAAAGGTTTAGCAGCCTGCAGCTTTTCTTAAGGTTAATATGACATGTTATTACAAGTGTTATCATAAAAAAATCATTTCATAAAATTGTCAAATAATAAAAAAAAAATTAAGGTGGAGAATGAAATTTGTAGTTTGCTATATTTAAATCTTCTTTATTTAGAAACAAATGTCACTGACACAAATTATAAATAGCTCTCCTGGACTCTGTTTTTAAGAAGGCCTAAAAGTGATATGATGCACTTTTTCAAAAAAAAAGAAGAAAAAAACTTGTTTATTAAACAGACACTAAAAGCTGGAGGCCACTTTAAGCTAAGAATAATACTTCTACTGGTTTCAGGATTACATGTTCTAGTATATTTCTGAACATTTTCTAAGTAAGAGTGAATAAGTGTCAAAATACAAAGAGGCCTGCTGATCTGATTTGTGACTGACTCAGTTCATGTACATTTTAAATTTCAAGTGAACATAATTATGTTCTGTTTTCAGAGATATTTAAAAAGATTCAACTAAAAACTGTTTTTAAGAACCATTAAAAACATTGTCAAAATTAATAATGTGGTAAATCTTAACATACTGTGTTAATTTGTGACTCTTTATAAATACATAAAAGGTTTCAAATATTGAATCTGAATAGGACCTAAGGATATTGAAGTTAATGTAACAAGAGGGCCATGATGGCCCTGAAAACACTCACCTGTATATACACTGAAAGACTTTTCTAACGCAACACTTGTGCTTTTTAGTGTATTTTGGATTATAAAAGAATTGTTATTAGTGAAATTAAGAGTATAGATTAATGAACACTTCACACATGTATTGTAAAAAAATTATTGTAGTCGATGAAAAGAAAAGTATAAAATTTAACAGAAATAAAACATGAGTAACAGAGAATAAATCGCAAAATTCACAACACAACGATGTGAAATGATTGTTTTATCACAGCTGTTATCAAAGAATGAGTAAAACATAATATCAATCAGTTAATATCCAATATGTCCTCCCTGAGCTTGTATCACTTTCATACACCTCTGTCTCATGGACATTACATAATTCCTCAGAAATCGCTGTGGAATGTTCCTCCATTCCTGCACCAGGGCCTGTTCCAGCTCTGGTAGGTTCCGGGGTTGTACCGCTCGCCTGCGCACACGCCTATTCAACTCATCCCACAGGTGTTCAATAACATTCAAATCTGGAGACTTGGACGGCCATGGTAGCTGCTGAATGTTTTGCTGTTGTAGTAGGTTCCGGGTGGCATGTGCTGTGTGTGCCGGTGCTCCGTCGTGCATAAGTATCCACCAGCTTGAAGATGAGGAATAGTGACAGGAATAAGAACGTCCTGTTGATATTTTACAGCAGTCAGATTTCCTTGAATGATGATCAAGTCGGTCTTGGTATGTAGGGACACAATAGCCCAAACCATTACGGAACCACCCCCATACCAGTCACGTTGAATGATGCAGGCGTTGTTCAACCGGTCCCCACTCCGTCGGTAAACTCGAACCCGACCATCACTATGGAACAAATTAAAGCAGCTTTCATCCGTGAAGAGGACATTTGCCCACTCTGCACGTGTCATGCGCTGATGCCCGCGGGCCCACTGTTCCCTTTGTTGACGATGACGTGCAGTCAGGACAAGGCCACGATATGGTCGTCTTGCTCGAATGTTCTGGTCGCGGAGACGCCTGATAACGGTCTTGCTACTAATGTGTCTGCCATGTGTACCAACTGTTGTTAATGCAGTCGATTCGGCGGTCTTAAATCGGTTTTGAAAATGACTTGCAATAGTCTGGGCATCTTGTACAGGTGTTGTGACCCTTCCACGAGGCTGCCGCCGCTCGTCCTCAACTCGACCGGTGCGTTGGTACTTTAACAGAAGTCTGGCTATGACAGACACATTTCTGCCAAAAACTCGCGCCACCTGAAAATAAACAAACAAGAGTGATGTTTTTTTCCCTTCTAATCATAGGAAAGTAAATATTAAGTTTTGAGCAAATTATGTATCATATCAGAAATATCATAAATAAAGCAGTATTAACTTGGCATTGTTAGTATTTAAAAATATATCACAAACTTACCTGTCTGTCTGAATGACCTGCCTGAAGCATGCCGATTGCGCGTGCGCGCTCTTGTATTTGCATGCGAACCATTTAATGTTTTACCGGATATCTATGTTTTTTCAATGTTGCTGACTCAATACTATAGTTATATTGAAATAAAATCGAAAAGGTTTGCCAAAATCGTTTTCCTCGAGCAAAAAGTTGATTTCATACCTATAGAACGTGCGGAACCGATAATCCGTCATTGATGAATGATTTTGTTGAAAATATTTGCAAAAGGTAGTCAAACCGGTTCTGGTAAAATATAAGTAAGATATCTTGAAGTGTTCTTGTGAAATACCAATTTACCAAGTGTTGCGTTAGAAAAGTCTTTCAGTGTAGGCCCCTGGGCTGGGGTCAACTTTAATCTAAGGACTTTTATTTGAACAAACTTGCTAGACACCCATCAGAAGATGTTTCATGATAAATATCTAAGCTCTAGCTCTTTGGGGTTTATCAAATGAAGATTTTTAAAGCTTTTACTATACACATATAGGGAAAAAGTATGACCCACGGGCGGGGCCAATTTTGACCCCAGGGCTTTTATTTGAACAAATTAGGTAGACATTTACTAGAAGATATTTCATGCTTAGTATCTAGCTCTTTGGGTTTTTTAAAGAAGATTTTTTTAAGTTTTTACTATACACATACAAGGAAAATATTATTTGAACAAACTTGGTAGACACTGACTAAATGATGTTTTATGCCAAAGATTTTTTAAAAGAAGAATTTTTAAGTTTTTCCTTTGTTGGTTGCCATGGCCACCAGAGTTCTGCATGGAATTAAATTCTTTGAACAATTTTTAAAGTTGACTACCAAAGAATATTCCTGTGAAGTTTGAATGAAATTGGCTCAGGGGTTTATGAGGAAATGTTGTTTAAAGTAAAAGTTTATGGACGGACGATGGACGGATGGACAGACAAAAAGCGAGAGTAAGACCACTGACTCTCTGTAGGCTAGCTAGATATGTTCCCTCAAATAATAAATAGTTGCTGGCATGAATCAAACCCTCATCAGCAAGATGATTGAAGTCAATGACTTAAACTACTCAACCAAAAAGGTTTCCTTAAAAAGCACAAAGCATTTTCAATTATTCAAACTAAACAAAATGATGGGGAAAAATTAATTGATAACCCCATAGTTAATGTGCTTTTTGAATTTTATCACAAATGAAAATAGAATCTGATCATATTATATTGAGAAGAAAAAAAATAATTTTAAAACCAAATGAGCCGCGTCATGACAAAACCAACATAGTGCGTTTGTGACCAGCATGGATCCAGACCAGCCTGCATATCCGCGCAGTCTGATCGGGATCCATGCCATGCTGTTCGTTATCAGTTCCTCTACTTGTAACAGAGTTGGTAAACGAACAGCATGGATCCTGATCAGACTGCGCGGATGCGCAGGCTGGTCTTGAACCATAATGGTCGCAAACGCACTATGTTGGTTTTGTCGTGACGCGGCTCAAATTACTTTTTATTTTCAGACCAAGGTTCAATATGGTAGATGATGATAGGGAGACTCAGAAGAAATTGAAAGATGCTTTTTAGTAAATTCTACAAAAATAGACCAAAAGAAATAGGGAAAGAGAGTTTAGAAAAAATGGAGACAATGTGGAAGACATGATATATTGAACAGATAATTGATTTAGGAATTAATGATATATTAGAAATAGTTAAAATATAATAAAGTGACTGAACCATGCTTCAGAATATAAGGATAATGAAACCAGTATCAGATTTGTGATTGGTTATTTTTATAAAATTGTGCTCTGAATCATTTCAGATTTCAAAACTTACTTATTATATAATATGTGTATTTATTAGCAATTGTGGTGCAAAGTTGCTTTATGCATGAAAGTATCCAGTGAAAATTGTTTTATTATGGCCCCCACTATAGGGGGGCATTTAGATTTACACTTGTCCATCTGTCCAGCCACCTGTCCATCCAGTTTTTTTTATGTCGCATGTAGCTAAAAAAATATCTGACCTAGTCATGAAACTTTACAGGAATATTGGTCAGCATGTGCAGTTGTGCACCTGATGTTTCGCTAGTAGCTTTTTTTTCAGTTTTGTTAGAGTTATGGCCTTTGACTTAGAAAAAATTTACAATTTTCAAATTATGTCACATATAACTCAAAAAATATTTGACAAAGAGTCATGAAACTTTACAGGAATGTTGATCAGCACGTGTATAGTTGTGAACCTGGGTGATTGCTTTTAGATTTATTCAGTATTTGTAGAGCTATTGCCCTTGACTTATTAAAAATTTGCAATTTTCAACTTGTGTCGCTTGTCACTCAAAAGGTATTTGACATATGGTCATGAAACTTTACAGGAATGTTGCTCAGGATGCAAAGTTGTGCAATTGAAGTATTGCTTGTGTATTAATTCTGCTATGTGAGAGTTATTGCCCTTGAATTAGTAAAAATGCATTTTTAAACTTGTGTTGTGTATATCTCAAAAAGTATTTGACCTCGAGTCATGAAACTTTACAGAAATGTTGCTCAGCATATGGATTTTTTCCAGTTTTGTTAGTTATTGCCCTTGACTTAGTATATATTATAGACTTGTTCATGCAAAGCTCAAAAAGTATTTGATTAGTAGTCCTGAAAGTATACAAAAAATGTTGGTCAGATGTGTGTTATGCACCTTTGGGTTTGCTTGTGGATTTATTCATTATTTGTAGAGTTTTTGTCATTAACTCAGTAAAAGATTTTCAGTTTTCAACTTGTGTCAGGTGTAGCCCAAAAAATTTAGCTTAGTGTCATAAGATTGACAAAATATTGGAGTGTGGGAGAACCCTTGTCTGTTGGACACATTTCTATTTATTTAAAAGGTTTTGGGGTGGTATTTGGATATGTATAATCAATGTATGTTGGGACCATTGGTTTCAAAAGACACTTATTATAATATATACTAAACATAAAAAACAAATAAATATGTTATTAAGTTAAAGTGGTTTTTATTTTAAATATCCAAAGGATGAGTGAACAGAATTGATGTGCTCTATCATTCACAAAATCATTTCGTAAGAAAAAGAGCAATAAACAGTATATACATATGAGAAAGATGGTCACATACCAAAATATAAATAAAGTATTTATAAGTAAAAATATCTTTTAAATACATTTAGGCTTTAATCAAGTGGATGTTAAAAAGATTCTAACAATACATTACAGAAAAAGCTTCAATTTAATTGAAGTCTGACAAACAAAAGTGATCATAATCTAAAATGATCAATCTTCTATATGACATAGCTATCATTAATCATTATGGCTCTATGTGCACATTATAAATGATTATGAGATTTTCAGTACTTAACAACACTTGACCATATATAGCACCTCTGTGACCTTGACCTTTTGAGCTGCAGAGGCCAGAATTGTCTGTCTGACACACTGTCACATGATGTTGAAAATTTGTCCCATGTTATTCCAAATTACTACAAAAAGACAATTCACATGGCATAATAGATGTACTCCAATTTTGACCTTTTACTTTTATGTGTGACAAACATGATTTTAGACTCACAAATGGATTATATAAGGGGCCATGTCTTTAATTATAATCTTCTGTTGAAAAGAGGACTAATTGTCCCCTTGTGATATTGCTTTGAAATAAATCTGATGTTTGTTTTCTGTTATATTGCCTATTTAATTAGTCTTGATGCTTAGACAGTTGGAAAACAATATCTACATTGTATATGCCCACCTTCTGGGGCATAAAAAGGTGTTTTGAAAGTACATCTGGGGAATCTAAAACATTTTCTGCAAATTTAACTTACCATATAAAATGCTACAGAATAAGTTTGTTCATGACCCATCAGTTGGTTAAAGAGAAAAAAATCAAAGATATTTCTAATTTTAGCTCTATAAGCTCCTAAAAAGGACTTAGCAAATTCATTTGAATTTGCAATGTAACATATTACCATTCACTTGTTTAAAGGAAAGTATTTCTAGAAGTGATTTTATTTTTCATCTAACCAGTTACATTTTAGCAATCTTGATATTACTAAAAATACTTTTATGAATAGTAAAGTATTGTGTCTATACCACAATAAAAGCAGGCCAGTTTGACCTCTTGTAATCATACAGGTCTATATACAGTTAGCTCCTAAATGCAAGTACAATTTTTTGTATTTTGATTTTTAAATCCCATAAAGTAAGCATTTAAAGAAACAGTATTGTTCATAATTATATCACCACATGTATGTAAAAGCACTGATCAATTGTAATTATCAACAGCTGACCTTATGTTGCTTAACAAAAAGTTTCAAGATAAATGCAGTAAACTGTATGTCTGTGTGTACATGTGTGTCAATTTATTTGTCATATATCCTGTCAATGTATTGAACATATGGGATTGAACATATGGGCAAACATATAGATCATTTAATTATTACTAGGACTAAAGATTTAACAGGTTCTATATGATGTTTAAATTGCTGAAATTTATATTAAAACACCCATCAAATTACATGTGTCTTTGAAATTGAAATATTCCAAGCTTTAAAGCATTTTCTGTGCAAGTAATGCATTACATTATTTAATGTATATACATAGCATTTGCATACAAAAACACAAATCTAATTGCTTTTATTAATGAAGTTCTCCATAACACTAAAATGTTACATTTATTCACATTGAAATGGTTAGTTCTAGGTTAACAGACATCCATTTCTTTTTATTTTTTTCTCTGTTAAATATCTTGAAAAAGGGGCCAATTCTATGAATTCCAAGTACAACTGTACATAAATTTTCTTCAAATCAGAGAATTTACTACCTACCCTTCGGTTTTCCATTCTACAATGAACCTTCATCAATAAAAATTAAACATTCTAATTACATGTTATATTGGTCATCTGATCTTTGGAACAAAATGATCATTTTTAAAGAAATATATATGTTGCAGAAGCTATTTTCTAGTTTTTAACATAACTATCATCTTGATAAAGCATCACTCTATGAAAGTTAGAATCACACAAGGAAAGTGAACAAGTATACC